CATTACAGAAATATTTTTAGGGAAATTAAATTAATAAAACCTTATATATACCTAATAAATCTATATAAAGTTTTTATTATTATTAAGGTTATATTATCAATAAAATAATCATTAGAGTAAAATTTATTGCACTTAAAATACAGTGTCAAACAGTTAATCTTACAATCAAATGCAGTCAAGGATCTCTAGAAATTTTAAATATTAAGTACTTAAGCATATAAATAACACAATACATTAACACGACATTTAAAAAGATTATTAAAAATACAAACGATATAAAATTTGTTAAGCAAAAACCTTAGTGTAACTATTATGATTAAAAAATTCATCCTAAGAAATCAGACACAAGACTACTTTTGTCATATAGACCAAGTTAAAAGAGGTATACATGAAAAATGTGTTGAATGTAACATACCATTTATAACTTGTATATCGATTTAAAATAGCCTATATTCTCAGAAGATTTTTGAATGTAATGCTCAAATTTGTTATCACTTATCTAAAAAGCAGATCTATATCGAGAAAGTAAGTTCTCTAATTGTGACCATCTTGTTAATTTACTATATTGTAAAATCCATTTCAAATCATTACTACTTAATCTATTCTTACCTACATTGACGATTACACTAAAATTACTGCTAACTATTACACTACTTATTACACAAATATTATCACACTCGTGTCCCAACTGATTAATGTTTAATACATAGAAATATACACAGTCACTTGTAATTTTACTTGTCCAGTTTTTCAATGGGATATTATTGTCTAAGACTCTTAAAAATGATTCAAATGAATCTATTAAATCATTGTCTAAGAATTCTGTTATCTCTTGTTCCCTCTTCTTATGCAAAAAGTGTCTTCTGTCTTCGGGATTCCTTCTTTCTTTAGTACGATGAACAGTTACATATGATGGTACTTCAGAAAATATATTAGGAACTGCATTGTCTTTTAATTTGGGAAATATTAACTTTTCAATGTGTACATTTCCATCTTTATCTTCTCATTGTTCAGTCCGCTGAATATCATCTTCATGAAAATGTTTGGCACATACTACGGAAGATTTGGTAATTGTATAGCCTTCTCTATGAATAGAGCATAACCCAGTATACCTTCGTTGGGGATCTTTGGGAAACGAAAACGTACTTTCTGCCTGTTTCGTTTTTAAAGTACTGGCATAATTGGTTTTGCTACCAGGTACACAACAATGTCAGGGCATCTGTAACAAAAAACAAAAGTATTATTATTTTCAGTTTCTTTTGTAGGTTATATTTATACTTGCCTTTTAAATTGTCGTTAAGAATCTTCTAAACTTAATGAAATTTCACTTATATTAATATTTTCTAATTGATTTAAACACAATTTACAAATAAAACATTCGAATAAGGTTAAAAAAAAAACACTAAATTCAACAAACTTTACAAGCCTTCCTATATGAAATGTTAAACAAAACACCACGGTCGGACTACCACGCGTTGTTGCCAAATTTCTACTTCATGGCTTGGAAGTAAAGGTGGCTGTGGGTGGGAAGATCATTTAAAGAAACATGCTGTCTAAGATGGATGAAAATCACAATGGACAGAGAAAAAGTCAGAGAGGAAGGCCTATATCTATAGAAACTTTAATATAAAACGGCTTTATATAGATAGATTAGTTTCATAAAAGCTATGATATTAATCAATCAAGTCTTCAAAGGAAAAGTAGGTCCTGATCACGTATCCATTAGGTATATGTCAAACTTTCCAATATTGACGTTTCTTCAACGACGTAGCAATGTCTCAAAATTTATATAGACATCCTCATAAACGACTTTTTCATCCAATGTTTTAAAAATAAATTTTTCTTCGTTTATAGCTACTTTACGTTAATAGAGACAAATTCCCCTTACAAATAATCGAGTCGAGAGTCTACTTTACGGATGTGATTTATTTGTCAGAACAAAAATCACTGTAGGTACATCCTCGAAACAAAATAAATACATTAAATTAGCGCCCCTATATACTGGAAATAGATCTTCTTTTGTTTCAAACGAACTCAATTGTTACTTTTTAGTGATGACTTCCTGTAATCATTTATATTTACCTCTCTCTGTCGTCCGAGTTGGCCGTGTCTGTGAAATCTTTTCCTCTAATTCCTACTATTTTATTTAACAAATGACTGAGTAATTTGTGACATGGATATTTAACACTTTATGACTGAGGAGCTTGGATATTAGACGTGTTTATTAGTCATGGGGGCTATACGGTTACAAAAATAACAGAAAATATTGTAAAATATATTCAAAACTACAAAAAAAAATTCAAATACAATTTTATTTCATACAATTACAAGCTGGGATTAAAAAATTCCCAAATGGGCTTCCGGAAACAATTTCATTACTACTACTAAATTATTAGTAACTTATAATGCTTCGTTTAAAAATTATTAGCAGTCAAAATAAAAAAAAATGTATAAGGTTTCAAAATGATAATAGATGAACATGAAATTCGAACAACCTGGTGTAATTATATAAGTGAACTGTATAATGATGAT